AGCCTGTGGAATGAAGAGTCCCAGGTTCGATTCTGGTCAAGGGCATATGCCCAGGTTGCAGGCTCAATCCCCAGTAGGGGACATGCAGGAGGCAGCCGATCAATGATTCTCTCTCATCAATGATGTTTCTTTTTTTTTTTTAATTAAATCTTTATTGTTCAGATTATTACATTTGTTCCTCTTTTTTCCCCCCATAACTCCCCTCCTCCCAGTTCCCGCCTCACCCTCCCTCACTCCCCACCCACTGTCCTCATCCATAGGTGCACGAGTTTTATCCAGTCTCTTCCCGCATCTCCCACACCCCTTTCCCTCCCAAGAATAGTCAGTCCATTCCCTTTCTATGTCCCTGATTCTATTATAATCACCAGTTCATTCTGTTCATCAGATTATTTATTCACTTGATTCTTAGATTCACTTGTTGATAGATGCATATTTGTTGTTCATAATTTGTATCTTTACCTTTCTTTTCTTCTTCCTCTTCTTAAAGGATACCGTTCAGCATTTCATATAATATTGGTTTGGTGGTGATGACCTCCTTTAGCTTTTCCTTATCTGTAAAGCTCTTTATCTGACCTTCAATTCTGAATGATAGCTTTGCTGGATAAAGTAATCTTGGTTGTAGGTTCTTGGTATTCATCACTTTGAATATTTCTTGCCACTCCCTTCTGGCCTGCAAAGTTTCTGTTGAGAAATCAGCTGACAGTCATATGGGTATTCCCTTGTAGGTAACTGAGGTTCTTTCTCTTGCTGCTTTTAAGATTCTCTCTTTGTCTTTTGCTCTTGGCATTTTAATTATGATGTGTCTTGGTGTGGTCCTCTTTGGATTCCTTTTGTTTGGGGTTCTCTGTGCTTCCTGGACCTGTAAGTCTATTTCTTTCACCAGGTAGGGGAAGTTTTCTGTCATCATTTCTTCAAATAGGTTTTCAATGTCTTGCTCTCTCTCATCTTCTGGCCCCCCTATAATTCTGATGTTGGTACACTTGAAGCTGCCCCAGAGGCTCCTTACACTATCTTCTTATTTTCGGATTCTTTTTTCATTTTGCTTTTCTGGTTGGGTGTTTTTTGCTTCTTTGCATTTCAAATCTTTGACTTGATTCTTGCGCTCCTCTGGTCTGCTATTGGGAGTCTGTATAATATTCTTTATTTCAGTCAGTGTATGATTAATTTCTAGTTGGTTCTTTACCACAACATGGAGGGTCTCATTAGATTTCTTGAGGATCTCACTACATTCATCGGCAGTTTTTAGAAAATTATTGAAAGACCTTAAAAGTGTGGTTTTGAGCTCTATATCTTCCATTTCTGACATTTGCGTCCTGTTTCTTTGTCTCCGCACTTTTTTATGTTTTCTTGGTGCACCCCCTAGTGGTCTTTGTGCACAGTCTTGTTGTAGTTAAGCCTTGATTGTTGTAGGTAATACTAGAGAGGATTTGACCTCCAGGCAAAGTGGCTGTGAGAATCAGCTGTGTCTGCAGTGAGAGAACTTCTGTCCTCTAGGGAGGTGCTAATCTAGCCTTTGCCTAAGGCTATCCGGCAAATGCCTCTGTGCAGGGCTTGGGTGGGGTGTATCCCAGGGGATCAACAGGGCGGGCTGAGCCAGCAGTTATGGCTACTCTCAGTCCCGTCCCTGGGGGCTCTGCCTCTCAGAGTCCCAGCAACCACTGCAAACCTCGGAGAGAAAGCTGCCTTCGAGTTCCAACTGAAGCCAGACAGTACCGCTTCTCCCGTTTGAGTCTGGGTCCCAAGAGACTCGCCCGGATCTGGAGCTCAGAGTCTGAGACTCCCTCCCTATTGAAACAGACAACCACGCCCTCAGCCACCAGCCTGCTCCACATGCATTCCGCACCTTAGTATTTGACTTCAGCACTGCGCCTCCTCTGAGTCTCGGTATGCTATTCTCTTTCCTCCTTGTTGTAGAACTTCCACTCAGCCAGCCTTCCTGTGGTTCTGGATGATGTCCGTTCCGTCTTTTAGTTGTATTTTTGAAGTGGTTGTTCAAGGCAGCAAACTCTGGTGTTAACCTATGCCGCCACCTTGGTTTCCTCCAATGATGTTTCTAACTCTCTCTCCCTCTCCCTTCCTCTCTGAAATCAATTAAAAATATTTTTTTTTCTTTTTTTTTTTCTTTTTTTTTTTTAAATATTATTTTATTGATTTTTTTTTTGCAGAGAGGAAGGGAGAGGGATAGAGAGTTCGAAACATCAATCAGCTGCCTCCTGCACACCCCCCACCGGGGACGTGCCCGCAACCAAGGCACACGCCCCTGACCGGAATCAAACCTGGGACCCTTGAGTCCGCAGGCCGACGCTCTATCCACTGAGCCAAACTGGCCAGGGCTAAAAATATTTTTAAAAAATATGTAAAGTCCTTAGAACAATGTCTGGCACATTAAAATACTAGAAGACTCAATGAATGTTAGCTATTACTTTTTGTTTAGATTTCTAACTTGATCACTAGTATAAGCTGACACTATTGGAACAAGCGATTTTAAAGAAAGCTTGCTAAGACAGTTAATGATATTCTATTGAAAGAAGGTAAGTCTAGGAGACATTTGAAGGAAGAGGATTAAAAAGGGAAGTGCAAGTTTGTGTGTGTGTGTGTGTGTGTGTGTGTGTGTGTGTGTGTAAGCCATGTTTTTATATGTGATTTCAAAGTTGAACAAAGTATTGCCACTTGATGGAAGTGATAAAGAGGTAAATACTAACACGTTATCAAGGAATTGTTTTTATTGATGGAGCAGGCTGGTACTTTAGATTGTAAATTTTCCAAAATCAAGAGTATTCAATGAGATGTTCAAGACAGTTGTGCCTTAAAGTAGATACATAAACCTTACCTGCCATCAGGAACCAGGAGCTAATGTGCAAGAGTGAAGCTGATCCTGGGCATTGTGTGAACGACTCAGCTAGAGTCAGAAATTACCCGATTATTAGTTATTCAGCAGGTCTTCTCATTTTCCAAGAGTTTTTAGCAATCCAGTTTTTTTATGTGAAGTTTCTCAATTTTTAAGTATTGGCATCTAACTGAAAATAACTTTGTAAGTTAGAGAACCATCCCTAAGCCACACCCAACATATTTATCATTATTTAGAGACCTCTGCTGTAGAAGCACCATGTTAAAGCAGGTAATATTAGAGTGCCCTGTATGAGTTCTGATCGTATTTTTTCCACATACTCAATGTGGGATTTCGGAAACAAACCTCTCAAAAGGTACCATTTTTCACAATGTTTCTGGTTGGGGGAGGGACAGTTGTTTTGTTTTCTGTTTAAACTGTTACCCCCTCCTTTTATTTTTTTGTAATCCTCACCTATAGATGTTTTTTCTATTGATTTTTAGAGAGAGTGGAAGGGAAGGAGGGAGGGGAGTGCGAGGGGAGGAGAAACAGTGAGATGAGAGAGACACGTTGATCGGTTGCCTCCCGCACACACCCTGACCTGGGCTTGGATTCTGCCTACAACCCAGGTACATGCCCCTGACCAGCGATGCTCTAACCACTGAGCAAAGCCATCCAGGGCTACTCTCTCCTTTATGAACTGGCAAAATTTTTCCATGCCATGGATCAGCTAAAATGCCATCCCTTCTCTAAAGTCTTCTCTTAATACACTCAATTATTTCCTAGAATTCTTAGGATAAAAGCCAAATGTTTTAATGTGGCTCCCAAGACTCTTTATGAATTGGCACCTCTCTCCCTGATCATGCCAACCTTATATCCACTACTGTGTGTGTGTTTTTGTGTGTGTTTTTGTTTTGTTTTTACATATTTTTATTGATTTCAGAGAGGAAGAGAGAGGGAGAAATAAAAACGTCAATAATGATGGAGAATCATTGATTGGCTACCTCCTGCATGCCCCCTACTGGGGATCGAAGCCACAACCCTGGCATGTGCCCTGACCCTGAATTGTACCATGAAGTCCTGGTTCGTAGGTGGACACTCAACTACTGAGCCACTCTGGCCAGCCTTTTGTTTTTATGTTTGTGGTTCTTTTGCTTGCTTAAAACATCTTCCTCCAAATTTGCTTACTGTTTGCTCTCTATTCTACTCAAAGTGACCAATTTCAAATAAGTCCTCTTTCCAAATTGTACCAATTTTCTTCATTATATGTCTAATTTTGTTTCTTTTATAAATCTATTAGTAACGTAAATATATTTTAAAATATTTATCCTTGTGCATTCACTAAAGCATAAAGTCCTTTAAAGTAGGGATCTCATTTGCCTATGCTTGGAGTGGTATCTCGTATATCATAAGCATTGAATAGTTATTTGTGCAATTAATAAATGGAACAATTCATTCACTGGTATATTTATAAACAGAAGCATATCAAACTATATTTTAGTTAGTTAGTATATACATTTGACTTTCCAAATAGTCTATATACACTCTGAAAATGCCAGGTTTCTCAATCCATTTTTAGATTTTAAGCACCCACATGTCAATAAACCTACACTTCTAAGCCTTTTCAATAAACCTATACTTCTAAACTTCGTTGGAATCACTTAGCACACATAGAAAATGATAATATTTTATGCAGTACACTGTGGTAAACTGATAAAGCGAGAATCAACTAAGCTAAAGACTTCAGCTGTCCTGCAACCTATTCAGACGCCCTGATGACAGAAGTGACCAAAATTTAGTCTTATTTGCTCCTTACTCACTTCTTGAGATGCTTTAAAACAAGCTCAATGTGTCCTGCGGGGAAAACACTTCCCAAGCATACCATGTACGAAAGAATGCTAATTTGTGTCAGATGATGTATATTTTCTCTTATTGCATGGAGCTTTATTATTCTTGACATCATCTTTGTAATTGTGAAGAATTGAGACTCAGAGTACTGAATGAAGAATTCTGGATGCACTAAGCATGGTGATACATACTATGCCCTATCTTTGTTTTCAAATTGTATCTTTTCTCTGAGCAGCTTAACTAAATCAAAGGTGGCTTCATTATTACCTGAAAAGAACATCAATGGAGAAGTTCTGCCAAGATACCTTTATTAAAATAGCTTTTTTATGATTAATTATTGGTGGTAATTACATTGTGGTGGAGACTGGGTATCAGGAAATAAATCTTCTGAAGCAAAAGGCAAACCGAAGGCACTTCCAACATTGCAACCTCAGAGGATTCAACAATTCCCTTCATACTTGAAACCAAGCTTTCCATTTTTTTTCCTGAAAGAAAGAAGATGGCGCTCAGAATGAGATACAGTGGAAATGGATTATTTCAGACTGAATGAACTGAATGGGGACCTAGCTTTGTTTGGGGATAATAATATTGCCTTATTTTAAATAAGAATTATATGAAAAATATTTATCATAGTAGAGGCTTAATAATTTCCCCAACTCATACCCCATTGACCCAAACTAAGGGTGCTGTTCCAGTATCTGCTTTCATGTGCTTACATAGCTGCTTTGCAGAATTCACAGCGATTGTTGTAAGTTTGTCCATCAGTACCACAGACCGGTTTTTGGATCTTGGGACAAGGTTTTTCACCTGTAGCTGTTTTTTCATAGCTGCTGCAGAAAGCCTGTGATTTAAATGAAGTTCTTTATTTTATTTCATGATCAATGGTATTGATATCATTAACTCTTTCAAGGAATAAAAAATACCTTTTTATTTTATTTTTTTAGGAAACTCCACACTGCTTTCATAGAAACATTATTTACAATAGCTAAGATCTGGAAATAGCCCAAGTGTCCATCAGTAGATGAATGGATTAAAAAACTGTGGTACATTTAAACAATGGAATACTATGCAGGTGTAAAAAAGAGGGATCTTTTACCCTTTGAAACAGCATGGAGAAACCTGGAGAGTATTATGCTAAGCAAAATAAGCCAGTCAGAGAAAGACAAGTATCCCATGATCTCACTCATGTGTGGACTCTAATGAACAAAATAAATTGATGAACAAAAAAGAGTCATCACTTACAAAGCTATGTCAGGAAGCTTCCTAAATGTAGATTCCTAGAACTCAACACTCCTAGAGGTCCCAGTCCTATTGATAGGTCTAATATATATATATATATATATATATATATATATATATATATATATATATATATTATATTTAGATATTGATATATTGTTATATTAATATATATATATATATATATATATATATATATATGGAGCAGAAATACTGTATGCATTTTATGAAGCATTTGTAGTGACTTATGAACAAAGTGTTCAGATCTAGAGTAACTATATACTCTGAGTTGCCTAGGGTACTCTCAGTTTATGATTATTTTTTTGTTATAATTCATATAAGTACTATTTTCAATCTCAAAATTATCCTGATTTGGAAAATAAATAACATTCACACCATACTTGTATAAGCACTATTCTGTTTTCGAAGTTTGACTACATATAAACTCCTTATTATGGAAATGTGATATCCGACTAATAAGAAAATTTGAGGTCATTTTCAAGTTCTTTTCCACTGTTAAAAAATGCATCTGTACTAACAATGACACTTTATCTAGATCAATGTGTCATATTATCATTCTTCCGCCCTCTTGCAAGACCAACCAAATGAACTCAGAAATCTTAATGAACTAGCCACAGAACTTCCCAGCACATCACGGTTGTTGAAAGACAACCTCTTGTAATAGAGAAATGGTCATAACCAAAGAGCACTTACCTGAGAGCCTCCTTGGCTCACAGCCCCTGCAATGAGAAAACAGACCTCATAAGAATTCCAGAATTTTACAGTTAAAAGTTGTCCTTAGAGATCTTCCATTACACTTGTCTTGCTTTGTGGATGAAGAACTGAGGCCCAGAAAAAAGAAGAAAACTCATCCAGGTCACTCACCTTGTTAATTACACAACTGAGCTAGAGGACACATTACAAGTGGCCAATACAAAGCTCTCTCCACTTCATTTGCTATTTATGATTTATGTGACATTTAGCCAATATGTTGTTTACTTCTTTATAATGTTACCATAAAACTAGACTATACCTGAAGAAAAGAAGGCAAACTCTGGATCTCTTCTTTGTCAAAGAGGCCTATATTTTACCAGAAAGAGGCTGACATTCCAAAATCTAGAATCATTCTATTAAAGGATAATAAAGACAACTGGCAAACCAGGTGCTAATATAATACAAAATAATTTTGAGAGTATTTGAAAAAATCATATGATTTATCACCATTTCCACTAACACTAACAATGTTTGCCATCTACTTGCAAGAGCTCTACATTTTAAGCACTGTATTAAATTTCATTTACATTAAGTCTAATATTTCTGTTTTAAAGATAAGGAAACTGAGCTCATGGGCAACTTGTCTAAGGACATACGCCTTGTAAGTGGCAGTGCCGGGAGGCAAACCCAGGTCGCCTAGACCCTAAAGCCAATGTACTTAAGCATAACCTCTTATTGAAAGAAGTCTTGGAATATATAAGGTGCACATTCTATTTTCATGTGATGAAACAGAAGCCAAAGGGAGTGAGTTGTTCAATATTAAAGAGAAAGGTAGTAGCAGAATGAGAATTAGAAGGCAATTCTTAAAATCCTAGTCCTGAGTTTTTTCTACTCTATCTATTATTATTATTATTATTATTATTATTATTATTATTATTATTGTTATTATTAATTTATCTATCTATCATCATCTGTCTATCATCTCTTTACTCTCCTTACTTAGAGGGTAAGCAAGAATGACTCAGCTTTCAGCAAAATGAAAACATCTCAGAAAAATTCTGGTATTGAAGCTCCTTAGATAAGAATTTCTTGAGGGTGACTTTAAATGAAAATTTCTAATTTAAATATAAATTTTTTCCTTGAAAAAATGAAGCTTATTTGTAACCTTATGCTGTTAATTGTGATCTGCTGAGGGGAACACAATTGGCCTAGAAGTTCTAGATTAGCCACTTGGGGCCTAGGTGACCTAGAAGAGGCCATCTGTGAGATATGATATAATTAAAGCAGCTAATTTGTAAGTAAAAATCCTTCTAAAAGTGTGATGGGTAGTCACCATCACTAACCTTCTTTATCATCATTATAATCTTTATCCTCATTGTCATCATCATCATTATCATAAACACTATCACATCATGACTGCTGACATTGACCAGTCTGGTCCAGAATTTCATTTCAAATATATACATAGTACTCACCAGCAAAGAGGAACAAAGAGACCATGCTAACCAAAAGAAGAAGGCTGCCTGATGGCTTCATGTCAACGAGGTCTGTGAGGTCTGTAGGGAATATGTTAATAGGGTTCAGCACTGTGGATGTTCTACAGGCTGTATTTATAAGTGGATCCATATGCATGCATCTAAATATCTTATAGGAAGGCCAGCCAGATTCTCCACCCTGATTTTGTAATCTATTTCCTTGGCGATTAAAGACACCAGAAACCAAAGAAGCTTATTTCATGCCTTTTTAAAACAGTCAGGAACAATGGTCAATTATGATGTTTAAGTAGAATGAAATGAATTACACATAACATATCCAGAATTTGCTCTCATCAGCATATGGTGATAATTGCAATCAAGTCATTTTCTTTCAACTAGTATATTTTGGATCTTCCCCCAGCAAAGCCTTGAGGGCTGACAGCTTTCATCTGGCAGTAACTTGTAGGACAGTCTATACAATTTGTGCACAATATTAATAATCTCTTCCAGGAAAATAATAATGCTGATGTGAGGGTTTTTGAGGTGAGGAATTTATTAGACAGATTAAGAGCATACTCCTAATGGTCACGGAATTAAAACTCTAGATATTCAAGGTGAATGTGAATGGGGGCTGTTTTCTTCAACCTTCCCTTTTAGGCAGCATATGCATGATGTTCCTATGCAACATTCTTATTTTAACAAGTATCTCCCAGGTGGATTTTAGTCATTGTGCAAAAATGCCCTCCACACTCATCTTCTTTCTCTTCCTCAAATACACCATGTAGTCTTCACCTTAGGACTCTAGATCTTACTGTTTACTCTACTGGGAAACTGCTCTAGAAACTAAAATGGCTAGTTTCTTCTTTCTAGAAATAGAAATTCAAATATTATCTGCTCAGTGAAGATTTCCCTAACAATTCAAAATACTCCCACCCCAAATCAGATCAATAGACTGTTTTCACAGTGCTTTGTGATACCTAAGATGACCTTTGTTATTTAATTATGCACTTGTATATTTCCCACCACCAAATAAACACATATACAATTACCTATACAAATATAAGCTGATGGATCTTTACCACTACTTATTTCTCCATGCACAGAATAATGTCTTGCACATAGAAGTCCACCAATCATTCTGACTTTACAAATGTTAAGCAATAAAAATTCCTTCCTTCCTTAAAAAAATAATAATTGACCTCCAATTACTTTAAGTATTACTAGATACTGACGATATATAATGACAACAAAGAGAGATTCATAGAGCTGACATTCTCCATTCTTTCCTCGAATACTTGCTGGGTGGAACCTACTGATTCAGGAACTTAATTAGGTTCTGGAAATTTGAAGTTGAGTAAGAGAAGTTCACAGGCTAATGGAGAAGAAAACATGTGATTAAAGTTATACACAAATATGTGTATAACTCAGGGGAACACTGAGGAGAGCGCATTTGTTTGAGTGGGGTGGAGGAATGGCAGAGAGGATGTGGTCATGACCAGGATTCACAATGGATCTGACTCTCAGAATTATTTGAAAATCAGAGGCACATGAGTGACAACCAGCATTCCAAGAATAAGGATGAAAGGAGGCAAATAAGAACCAAGGAATATTTTGAGAAATGAGAGTAATGGTTAGATTCAAATGCTGAGACAGGGCTTCAGATAAAGGGTTTATAGGCTAGGACCATGTTAAGGATTGTCATTTTTTTTTGTACTTGGGGTCCATTTAGATCCCTGGATGCACCGGTTTACATTTTTTATCAAATTTAGAAATTAAACAACTATTATTTATTCAAAATTTTTTAATTCCCTCAAATCACCCATCTCCCAAGCTGCATAAAGTTGTCCCACAACTTACTAATGCTTTCTCCAATATTTTTTTCAGGTGTTCCCCCCCTACCCCCTCAGTTTAATTTCTGTTCATTTTTGATGCTGTCTTAAAGTCTTTTCTTTCTCAATTGCTAACCTGCTGTTGATACCATGTGGTATATTTTACTTCTCATTTTGCTTTACACATATAAAGATAAATAGATTAAATATATATATATATATATACAGATTTTTTTCTTAATATACTCTATCTTTCCTCTACCTTCCAGAAAATAATAAGTTAATTAATAGCCTCATCTATCAATTATATCATTTGTATATTTTTTAGATCTGTTTATATTATTAATATATTTCCAGATTTAGGGTAAATTTTTTCTATTTCTTTGAATACAAGAATTATAAATTTTATTTGTTGGACACTGGATATTTTCCTATTTCTATGAATTTTTTTTCTCTGTCTTTGGATGCAGGTAAGTTACTTGGAAACAGGAAACCATTTGATAGACAGAGAGGTATATGTAGGGGCCTCCCAAAAATGTATACACACTTTAAATAATTATAAAGGTAGTATTTATTAAAATACATTTCATTTTCAAAATTGAGCTGTTAAAGTGTGTATGCTATGGATTTTGGATAATAATGATGTGTCAATGTTGATTCTTTAATTTTAACAAGTGTACCCATCTGGTGGGGGATGTTGGTGCTGGAGAGGAGATGAGGGTATATTTAGGACCTCTATGTATTTCCCACTCAAATTTGCTATAAACTTAAAAGTACTCTAAAAATAAAGTCTATTCATTTAAAAGAAGGAAAATTATGACAGAAACTAAAGACAAAACTAAAAATACTTAGAAGATCCTGTTCATTCTCAATAAGGCTACTGAGTGTATTTCAGGGCTGTTGCCCTAGGACTGGAAGATATTTTAATTCAAAACTATTATTAAAAGCATAATTCCTTATAGGTATATGACACAGTATGCATAGAGATTTTATGCACATTATACATGTTCATTTTTTTTCTAAAATTACATCTGTGAAGTCTCACCATCATTGCACATGCGGCACTATAAGGATTAGCAAGTATAATTTAACCTAAAATTGCTCATGGGGGCCAAACTAAAGACATCTGTCTAATTCCAAACCCATTTCTTTCCAAGGGCTCAACATCCCTGGAGAAAATAGAAGGACTGTTCATAGTACAGACGTAGCAAGAGCACCGACAGAGGGATTTCTAGTACAGATAAGGTTGAAGGTGAGGACAACAGGTGCCAATGTCCCCATTGAGGAGGTGACATTTGAGCTAGAGGAGCAGAAAAGAAATGATTATTCCCTTTTGCCATCTTTTTGCTCATTAGACTGCTGGTCTACGCATTGTTATTAAGCAGAGCATCCCTCTCAGTGTGTTTTTTCAGTATCAAACTTCTCCTCTAGGCAGCATGATACAAGTGTCCTTCAAACCAGGCACATGAAGAGCTCATGAGAAAGTGCAAGTAAAGTTCTTCCCAGATTCTAGGATTTGGGGAACAAAATGCTTGGTGTCCTTAGAGAGGTGGGAATGCAGTCATATGCAGTGACGTGTTCATGAGATTCTGCCGGTTTCACTTACATAAAAGTTTAAAGGTTTTCAGTAAGTTCCACAAATGAACCTATAATTAGTTATGGCGCCTGTAGGAAGAGCTCAATTCCTCTTGAAATGGTGAGTAAGAGAGTATTTTATGGTGTCTGTCTAAGTCTATAAAACTGATTTTGAAAGCCTTGTACATCTAATAAAATGACCACAAAAATGAGTTTGGTTTTATTGGGTCAGAAGTTTCATGCACAATGAGAACTTGAGGACTGTAGTTATTAAGTCCAACTATTCACATGAAAAGTAAAATAGTTCATGTTAAGTGCCATTGTTGCTCTGACCTGAGACTTGTGTGGTGCCCTCTCTCACCACTGCTTCCTTTTCTCAGCAGGTGATCTTACATACTTTTTACTTACATACTTTTCAATACCGTATTAACTATAGTCACAGTGCTATATGATAGATCTACAAAATGTATTCATCTTATCATTATAATCTTATAATTGAAGTTTGTACCCTTTGACCAACATCCTTGAATATCTCCCACCTCCGGCTCCTGGCAACGGACATTCTTCTCTTGATTCTATGAGTCCAACTTTTTACATTCCATATGTAAGCGAGATCATATAAGTGCCTTTCTGTGTCTGGCTACAACATTTAGCTTTATGTTCAAGTTCAGCCAGGTTGGCACAGTTAGATGTCCTTCTTTTTTATGGCTGAATAATATTCAATTATATATATTCTTAAAGTAATTAAACAAGGAGGCCATTGGACTGAGGCAACTCTATTGCCTTCGTAGCCTGTGTAGTAAGCAAACCTAAACTAAGCCAGAGTCAGTGCAACCAAATTTGAGAAAACAAAACCTAAGAAAACCAATCATGAACAGCCAACCACGCTTTCTCAAATAAGGCAACCAGTTAAATAGACAATCAAATAAGTTTAGGGGTTTTTCCTTCCATGTCTTCTTTTATATAAAAAAAAAAGCCTTTCCCCTAACTTCTATTTTACTCCTTGCTACTTTCCATTCAAAGCTGGATGATTTGAATAGATGTTTTCCCAAATAAATTCTTGTCAATTTTAATATGCCTCAGTTTATCTTTTAACAGTATATATCAAAAAGTCTTTATTCATCTATCAATGAACACTTACGTTGTGAATTATATGGCAATGAACATGGGAGTGCATACTAGTATATCTTTCTGAGTTCCAGGTTTTATTTCTTTGAATACGTATCTAGAAGTGGGATTGCTGGACAATATGTTATTTTTATTTTTTAATTTTTTGGAGAATTTACATACTGTTTTCCATAATGACTATCCTAATTTACAATCCCACGGTGTTCAAGGGTTCCCTTTACTCCACATTTTTTAAAAATATATTTTTATTGATTTCAGAGAGGAAGGGAGAAGGAGAGAGAGATAGAAACATCAATGATGAGAGGGAATCATTGATCAGCTGTCTCCTGCACACCGCATACAGGCAATTGAGCCCACAACCCAGGCATGTGCCCTAACCAGGAATCGAACCGTGACCTCCTGGTTCATAGGTTGATGCTCAACCACTGCGCCATGCCAGCTGTTGCATGGATAGTTTAACAATATTAATTCTCCTAACTTATAAACAGAGGGTATCTTTATATTTATTTGTATTTTCAATTTCTTTCATCAAGGTCTTAACAGAAACATAGAAGGTCATTATATAATGATAAAGGGGTCAATTCATCAAAAGAATATACATTGTAAATATACAGGGTGGGGTAAA